TGCATTTTAATCGACACACATTGTAACGTAGAACATATATTCTTTACTACACAATGGACCTTAAAAAGAAAAAGACACATTTGTACACAATCAAGGCTAAGAGCAAAGGCAAACTTGGAATGGGAGTATTTTTGAAAAAATACTTCCTCTTTGAGGTACTCCCACTGTAGAATGGAATTTCCAGAGGAGTGGGTATAAAATATATTAGCATATACCAACTTGTGTACTTCCTAAGAATGTGCGCGCTCACTGGTTAATCGGAGGTGAATATTGTACAATATTCACCTCTGAATCTTGGAATATTGAGATGGCAACAAAATGGCACCTGTGGGCAATCATTTTGCTACAATTGCCAATGAGGAAATAGAAAAATGAAAGTAAATGTCATTCCTATCAATACTAAAAAGGCAACGAAGTATGGCCTAAAAGTTTTGCTAAAAGTTTTGCGTGAATTTGTCACGCAAACTAAAAGTTTTTGTTCATTTCATTGTATTATTGTATATAAAAGTAAGTTACCCTGTACACAACACAAATTGATATATGCTAAAACAATTATTCGCCTCAGGCTCAGTGAATATGGGGAATATTTACCTCGCCGCTTGAAGACTCGCATCTTGGTAAATATTTCTCGATATTCACTTCACCTTCGGCGAACAATTGCTAAGTATTTACTTGGACCAGGAAATTTTAGATTTTAACTAAATGCATGTACCTATTAAGTGACTTAGCATAAGTGTTCAGTTTCCTGTTTTCAGGCATCTGGGATCTTGTACCTCTTACACCAGCATTCCTTGAAAATAAAAAACATACGGTACATCAACTTTTTTTCACCTGTCTGGTATCCTAAAAATTGTGTATTCTGGTTGGCTGTGCAAGCAGGTGGTATTTTCTATATCTGTCCATTGTCAGGTATTCTGATGTCAAGCTTACCTCATCCAAGCATGCACATGGTAAATGGGTTGTTAATAAACAAAGCAAATTGCAAAACAAGTGGAAAAATAATTTTTAAAAAATCATAAAAAATCATATGTTAAATTCATAGATAATTTAAAGTGGGTCCGGCTTGGAAAAAAACTACGCTCTCGTTCTTGAAAAAATTCGAGACGGTTTTACCCTATCTGAGCTGCAATTCTATTTGGCAAATGTGGTTAATTCGATAAGAACATTATAAAGCCAAAAAAAAAAAAATTTGAATGACTGACCTTTTTTTTATTTAATACAGTATGTTTTAAAATCAATCATACTCCTACTGTATATTGAAAACTAGCAACATTCCGGCGTAAGCGAATAAATACATTAAAAAGTTAAGAATACTTTAAAATCGAATCATTTCCATACATATTTTCATGAAAAGATGTATAAATAAATAAATAACCATTAAACAAGAGCAAAATTATGTAAGAATTTGTATTGGTTTCCTTGGCCACGAACCGGTGTCATATGATCAAGGGATCTTTATTTTGTTATTTTTTTKAAGGTGACGGCCTCAGAATCACAAACAGTACGAGTGAGACATTAAAAGAGCTAAAACAGTGTAGATATTGGTAACATACCTTGGAAAAAGGTGTGTTTTTCCCGTATTACTGTGCGAGGTCAGCCAACCTTCCCTTCTGCTTTCCGCCATTTTTCAACTCTGGAAAACATGCACCATATTTGGAAGTACTCGCTCCATGCCTACTCGGAATAATGAAAATGTGTGGGGTTAGTGGGGGCGGTTGGGTGGGTACCCTCTTTTGCAGGCGTCCTTAGGGGAGGGATTTTTAGAGAAAACTTGTCCCTGGTAGAAGGGATACCCATTTCCCCGGCCTTTTAGGGTTAGCCTTCAAAGGAGGCTACCCAAAGGCCGGCCTCAGCTTGGGTCATTCAGGGATAGGGTTTTATTTTCTTTAGTATTTTCTTCCTTTCTCATTTTTAGAACAAATATGATTTCAACTTAAGTTTTGCTTTAAATCCATTTATTTACGACAATTTTCGTTTCCAAAGCCATTCAAAGACGGAAGAATGAATAATTTGTCACAAATTTAACAGATTCTCCATTCCATTCCATATCAACTTCGCTAGCTTGACTCGATATTTTTGATTTCCATACTTAAGCTTCATAACTGGAGTTTCTTCTCCCCCTCTTTCTTCTTTCTCTTCTTCTTCTTCTTCTTCTTCTTCTTCTTCTTCT